TGTTTCTCCCCCCCCCCAGGGGGACTTTAGCAACCCCCCCGCCTTTCCTCCACTATGTTTAAAGCATTACTGGAAAATGCTTTTATGCGAAGATAGCATAAAGAAAACGGACGCAGAAAACGCGGTCGTGTGCGCCCCTGACACAACCAAGGTGCTGCAAGGCTTACGCGAGGGTGTGCGGTTGGTTCATCGTGCTGCAGTTGTCCATTGGTTAGAAGTTAGCGCTTTAGACCTTAAAAATGTATTTTCATTCTTCAGGTTTTGTTAGCTTTCCTATCGTTGCCGTTTTATGGTGCAGTTTCTCTTCTAGCAAAAATACTAAAGGAATCTAAGGAAACGGGAATGGGAGAAAAGCTTATTTTTCCAGGCAGAACTCGTGGCTTTTGCTAGCTCTAGTTTTTATTTGTGTAGGTTTTCTGCAGTTCTAGATAGCATAAAACATGGACGTCGTTCCTCAGAGGTATGAATTTATAGATCAGACTTGTTTAGAGGGCGTGGGGGAGCAAACCCCACCAACCCTCAACAGCAACTCTATATTGTAATAGAGACGCTGTTTATATTTGCCGTTCACGTGTTTATGCGTAAGGGAAGTGAGACTTGGCCTTGATTCGGAATGAAACATAGTTTCCTTTCATTTTTTTTTGACTGGGGAAAGCTAAGGATGTTTGCTCATTCTTCTTAAAGGTTCAGAGTGAATTAATGTTTTAGAAAAATAGAAGTTTTGCAAAAGACTGCATAAAGCTGGTAACTGCTATTATTGATTTTTCTCACTAATGGAATAATGTCCATCCCTCTCTCCCTAGCTGATCTCCTGAGATTCTGCGGGTCACACGGTAACATACTAAAATCAAACACAGACGCGTTATTTGTTAAACTACACACTATGAATAGAAAATGAGGCCTGAAATGACTCTTTAGTTTCTCTCTCATTTTGTTTTACTGCTGACTTTATTATTATTTTTTGAAATATAATGAAATATTAATATGGAAAAAGCAATAAGGGTGGCATAAAGCAACCACATTACTTTGTGAGGAGTAGCTGGCAGATAAAAACTTAAATACAGTTTAATTGATTTCATTTATACACAAAAAATAAGCATCAGGTTAACTGCTCTTATCCTTTTCATATCCCTTTCTGTCCCTCTGTCGAATCAACTATGGAAGGTAATGGTCCAGGGGGATAAAAGGGGACCTAAGATAGCATGTGAGCTAGCCTAGAAATAATTTCTTGAATTAATTTGTTTTTCTTTGTAAAATACAA